AGCCCCTCCTGCCTCCGCCTCCACGGCTCCTGCTGGCTCCCCTCCCCCTGCCCCCAGCTTCCCTGTGCTTACCATGTCAGAAGTTCAGGGTTTTAAAAATGGCACCCAAGATGGTAGCCATCTTAAAGGGGCAGCCACCTTTAAAAAAAAATAAAAAAAATTTGTTTGCTCGACAATTCTGTTCTGGGGGGCTTTTTTCCCCCTTGATAGTTCTGGTGCGGCTCTTCACATTTTTTTCACCGCAGTTTTGACTCTTTTCTAAATGGGTTGGCCACCCCTGTTTTACAGCTTTCCACACCTTTGGCTCTCCTAACCACCTTCTTCTCTCTTCTGCAATTAAACAGGGTCATAAATTGTCGTTGGGTCATAAATGATCCAGGCTGAGGGGAAAGTTCAGTCTGCCTGTTTCTTTGCGCTGGGTGGGGTTAGATCAGTCAGGCAAATTATTTACCAGACACCAGGAGCAATGGCAGTTTCCGTCCTCCAGCTTGGCAATTGGGGAATTTCTACAGGGGAAAGTAGCCTGCATGTCACTGCATGTCACTGCTAACATACTTTAAACATGGTGTGGAGCAAATATCATTGTCTATTCCACATGTTAAAGCTTGGTTGTGCCCTAAAAGTTGGGGAGGAGTTTGGGGACTGGATTTTGCCCCAACATCTCTCTGATGCCAAGTGTGATACTGAGCCACTGGCAACCACATGGGGCCCAGCTGCAGCCCCACTGAATCAGTGGAGACTTCAACCATTACTCTGCTTGCAGGTGTGAAACATCTATCTGAGGAGTATTGATTCCCTCTTCTGGCATCAGGATCAGAGAAACCATGTATGTGTGTTGAGGAAGGGTATTGGATCAGAAAGCTGGATCTGCCAGGGAAAGAAAGGAACAGGCTAAGATGAGAGGAGAAGGGTGGGATATTTGGAGGGACATAGGGGTCAGATGGGTGGGTGGCAGCAGGAGTGGAGTGATTAGGTCAGGTTGAGAGGTTACCCTTAGGGAGAGGGGTTCTGACCTTTTATCTCTGTCCCCTGTAGGAGTAAGTATCTGCCACTATTGCTGCACTGTTCAGTGTTAGATGAAGTTTTCTAACTTTCCTTCTTTCTCTTAATTATGAAAGAGCCAGCATGATTTTGCGGAAATACTTTTAATGGAAAAGTTTTTCTGTTAAAAGTATTTCTGCAAAAGAGCATCTAGCTTGGAAAGGATGCTTTTGCGCAAAAGTGCTTTTGCACAAAAGCATCCATGGCCAATCTAGACGCGGTTTTGCACAAAAAAGCCCCGATCGCCATTTTCACCATAGGGGCTTTTTTGCGCAAAACAATACTGCATTGTCTACACTGGCCCTCTTGCGCAAAAGCATTTGCGCAAAATGGCTTTTGCCCGAACGGGAGAGTCATTGTATTTGCGCAAGAACACTGATGATCATACATTAGATCATCAGTGTTCTTGCGCAAATTCAAGTGTAGACAGCTGGCAAGTTTTTGTGCAAAAGCTTGCCAGTCTAGACTCAGCCTTAATGTCTCTGGCCAGCCAGCAACTTTGCCCTGATAAGGGAACGATTTATGGTGCTATCCACTGGATATATTGTGTAAAGTCTGAAGGTTACAACAATTCCTGCTTCCTGAGACAAGGAGCCTTTCAGCACAAATGGGGGTGAAGAGAAATTAATACAGGGGTGACTCATGTGCCCCTGTCCAGATCTGCTCTCTTAGGAAACCTCTGCACCAAAGTCTCCTGCTGCCATGTGAAGGTTTTCATGCTCCCATTCCTGCCGCCTCAGCAGACTCCATGGGGTCCTACAGCAGATGGGGAAGGGAATGGGTGGGCCACAGCAGGGGGCACCCATTGTTTCCCTCTCAGCCCAGTCCAGGTTCCTTGGAAAGGCAGCATCACGTGGGGCAGGATGACATTTTCAGCACATTCCTATTCATGGTAGGGATCCCCACTCCATCCCCCAGCTGATCAGACTGTGTGGGGTGCAGCGCCATCCCCACCAAAGTATGATCTGGGGCAGCCACCCCAGCTCCCATACTTTGGGGGGCCCCACACCAGCTGCCTCACCCACAGGCACCAGGCTTTGGGGGGCCCCACAGCAGCTGCCTCAACCATCCTATGAATAGGAGGGAACCAGGGGGTTATGGGAGCCTGGCACAGGATGGCAGCAGGGGTTGTCGTCCCCCCACCACACACACACTGCACTCACAATGGCAGCAGGATCTGGAGTGACCCAGCACCCTGCTCCATTCATCTGTGCTGCCCTCTCACAGCTGCACCCCTCATATGTCTCCTCCTTGGCATAGTTCTTGTATTTTTTTTCCTGATTCACTGATAGCGTCTTATGCTACAAAAGATTGACTTTGGCATTTATTTGACTGATACACTTCCTTTTAACTGCTTTCAGGTTGATGCCGGGACATGTTGGGTGTGGCATTAGTGAAAGAATATAGCACTTCACATATTTAAGTCTCTTCAAATTATGCAAATAAGTTTAAATGTGTTGGTTCAGTGAAAACAATCAAAAATCATCTTTTTAATTAGGGATAGCTGAATCCTGAAGAATCAGAGGTGTTGCAAACTTGTTGGGTGAGGGAGGTCAGAGGTTCAGAGGCTTTGCAAAACAAAGTCAGGATGGGAACCCATTTTTTCATGTATTTTAAACCCATGTTTTATTTCCAAGAGTGATTCAGGTACAAAAATACACAGTGTTTAGTTTGGTTTGGTTTCAACAAAAGAACATCTCTTAAAAACTAGGCTAGCATAAGAAGGTGACATATTCAAAAGGGAACAGCAGTAACTATAGATATAACACCATAACTTTTCTATTCTAACCTCATATTTGATTTACTCATAAGAGAAACCCCGATTCTTCAGCAGTAATCAACATGGGCAAAGCAATCGACACTAGTCTGATCAACGACTCTGAGGACAGAGCAAACTTATAGAATTGCAGAACTGGAAGGGAGCTCAAGAGGTTGTCAAGTCCCATCCCCTGCCCTCATAGTAGGACCCGGTACCATCTAGATCAGTGGTCACCAACCAGTCGATTGGGATCTACTGGTCGATCTTGGAGCCTTTGACAGAGGATCCTGACCGGTTTGGCCAGGGAGCTCTCAAGTGCTGGCACTTCAGTTGCCCCTCCACCCACTGACATGCTGCTCCTGACCTTGGGAGCCTCCTGCTTTCTGTGCAGGGTGTGAGAGGGAGAAGAGGGGAGGATGCTGATGTCAGGGTCTCCTTTTGCTGCTTGCAAAGTGGGTTATTTTTGATTTCTGACTGGTCTGTGCATTGCATCATTTTCAGTTCTCTCTTACGCTCACATTTAATTCTTTGAGCAGTGAGTTCTCAAATACCGAACCTGTCGTGGCTGGAGTCACAATCCCCATGGTAATTGCTGCTCCTGGAAGAGGCTGGCATGGCCCTGCAGCCCCTGAGAGAGGCAGAGCAGGGGGTCTCCACATGCTGCCCTTGCCTGCAGACACCGCTCCTGCAGCTCCGAGGAAAAAGGACTCCTCTAAAAAAGGAGGCTTTTCTGCCATTTGGCCCCATCTAGACAGTGCCTAGGAGCAGAGCGGAGCAGTCAGGACTCAAGAAAGAGGATCTGGGCCAGGCTATCTGAACAACATAGAGGCCCAGGGAGTAGGGCTGGGCCACTGGACAGCAAAAGGCAAAACCTGAAAGACTGTTACAAGAAGAAGGAAGGAAAATTGTTCTCCTGGGCCTCTGAGGACAGGACAAGCAGCAATGGGCTTAAACTGCAGCCAGGAAGGTTGAGGTTGGACATTAGGAAAAACTTCCTGCTTGTCAGGGGGATGAAACACTGGAATAAGTTGCCCAGGGAGGCTTGGGAATCTCCATCTCTGGAGATATTTAAAAGAAGTTTAGACAGACACCTGTCAGGGATGGTCTAGACCAGTGCAATCCATGGGTCACGATCCCCAAGAGGGTCACAGATGTCTTCCTGGGAGCTCGTGGCACTAAGGTCCAGCTGGCCAGGGGCTGGACCCAGCAGTTGGCGGCCCCAGTGGTGTGGAGGTCACAGATCAAAAAAGGTTGTGCACCATTGATCTAGACAGTACTGGGTCCTACCATGCAGGCAGGGGACTGGACTTGAGGACCTCTCAAAGTCCCCTCCAGTTCTATGATTCTATAAAAACCCTCTCCCCAAATAATTGCTGGTTAATTTTACATCAGGGAAATGTAGTAAATTAACATGGCCACTGAGTCTAGCAGCGACTGCAGCAGGGTTTGGTCCCATTCGTTACACAGGGGCTGAAGTAATTACAGAGATTTGCAGAGCGCTGCTCAACGAGCCTGCAGAACCTGCCGTCACCAGGCAAACTGCAGAGCTGAGTCTGCTGGCCCCAAAGCTGCCCTCTTGCTAGCCCTAGGGTGTGTCAGAGGAATTTGATCTCTGTGCCACAACCGTCCTGAGGCGGATCCAGTCCCAGGAACGTTCCAGCCCCTTTTCTGCTTTCGGTTTTGAAGCTGGTGGATGTGCCAAGACAGGACAGCGCTTCCATTTCATATAAATGTGCTAGCACCCTGCAGAGCGCAGGGGCAGGCTTGGGGTTACCCCCAGTGGCTCCTGGCCCCTCCGGCAGGATGGATGCTGAAGCCCGAGAAAGAGAAGCCGTTCCTGGGAGCTCTGCCTAGGGAGAATGGCTCTGGGCGCCAGGGAAGCAGGGGGCCCGCTGGAGAGACCGGAACAGTGCAAACACGACTCCGCAGGACTCTGCAGGTAGGGGTCACTTGGCAAGCCCCGTTGCATTGCTCCCAGGCTGGTTGCTAACCCATGGCACTAATCCAGTAGGGAAGCTGCTGCTGTGAAAGAGTCTTACTCCTGGGATTTGGGGATAAAGAGTCACTTTCCCACTGGGATCTAAGCACTGGCTGTAAAAACTCTCCCATGGATGTAGAGAACTGTCTGATCACTGCTCCCCTGCCAGCTTCCCTTTTGTTTGCTGCTCTGCTCTAGTCACAGAGGCCTTGTTTGCTTTAGGAAAATATTTCAAAATTAGTAAATTTGACTTAATCACTCCAGATTTAAAAAAATTCAAACTAGCAAACTAGCATTCAAACTACAGGGAAGCCTTGAAACGAGTCCGAGGCAGGCTCCGTTAATATGGACATGCTACCTCAGCTTAGTGCCCCAGGAAGCGCTGGGGAGTAATTAGTTCAAATGACTCTGGGGAGTGGTTATTTTGAAATAGCAGCAGTGGAGGGTACAAGTACCAATATTTTTAAATAACTCTTTCAGAATTAGTGTTACTCCCGATGAAAAGCCGGAGCACAGAGTTCCAATTCCGCAGCCCATTATTTCGAAATAACGGGTTTGGCAGCGTGGATGCTCCGCTTATAAATTTGACCTTGGGAGGGTTATTTCAAAGTAAAGTCCTAGTGTAGACCAGGGCTGAGAGGCATTGGAACCAATCACCAGCTGCAGCTCTCCTGGAAGGGGAGGGGAATGGGGGGGTGCTGTTGGGAATCAGGGGTTTTCATCAGCTCACTGCTGTGAAGCTCCAACATGAGAGAGTGAAGATGGTCCAGGCTGGGTGCAAGTGGGGCAGGGAGAGGGAGATTTTCTAAAGGTACGAAGGGATTTAGGAGCATAAGCCCTGTTGACCCTCATCTCTCCCTCAGAGTATCAATTGCTCCTGTCTATGCCCCCCGGTGGCTACCCCAAGGGAGCGTAGGTGAGGTTACAGCTGTCCTCAGGGGTTTCTGGCAGGGCAGGAGTAGCTTTACCTCAGTGAATGTCTCACACACCAGCCCTGTTCTCAATTACTTCCTCCCCGTGTGGCTGCTCCTTGGGCTGTTCTGGCTTCCTTGGCCATCCTGGCCTAAAGCAGGTTACAGATGTGGGCAGGTTTCTGAGCTGCCACATTCAGGAGGGCAGTGATACAACCCCTCACTGGTCTGGACTGCACCCAAAATAGCCCAGGCAGTACTGAAAAGGGCCACAAACGCGATTTGGGGGCTGCAACGAACCCCGCACAGTAGGAGACTGCAGGTCAATCTGTTCCGTTCAGCAAAGAGCAGCGTGAGAGGTGACTTCCTGTCATGGGTGCACCTGGTCTGGTCTGTGCCCGGCCTTCAGCCAGGCCCCTTTTCTTGTGCTGGCCCCCACACTCCACACCATTGCACAGCGGTGAGTCCCTGGTTTCAGTGTTGCAGTAACTGGGCCTTTGAGAACCAGCGATCCCTGGCTGCCTCTATGGTGCCCTGTGGCAAGTTCTACCCCTTCAGGGCTGAATGCTCTCCATGAGTATCTTCATTGATACCAGGCAGCCCTTTCCAAAGTAGCAATGTGTTAGTACCCTGCCTCTAGAACCTGAAAGACCTTAGTTCAGCACAGAGCAGCAACATTTAAGAGAAGGCCCAATTTGGCTCCCTCTCTCCCCTTCCTTTGTCTTCATCCCACGTAAGTTCCTGTGACTGTCAGCCCAATTCTTTCTTTCACAGACACCTGCCACCTTCTCCCTTTACTCTCCAGTTCTGGGCTGCTGCTCCTCTTCCCCACAGAGAGGTGGGGGAAGAGTAAAAAGATTAGGACTTTTCAGCTAAGAAAAGAGAAGACTAAGGCGGGATAGGACAGAGGTCTATAAAATCCTGACTGGTGTGGAAAAAGTGACCGAGGAAAAATTATTTATTTATTCCCATAACGTAAGAACTAGGAGTCACCAAATGAAATGAATAGGTAGCTTGTTTAAAACAAACTGAAGGACGTTTTTCTTCACTGAGCACACAGTCAACCTGTGGAACTCCTTGCCACAGAAGGTTGTGAAGACCAGGAGCATAACAAGGTTCAAAAAAGAGCAAGATAGATTCATGGAGGTTAGGACACCCAACAATGTCTATTAGCCAGGATGGGTAGGGAGGGTTCTGCTTATCCGGACTTGGGTGACAGGGGAGGGATGACGTGAGGATTAACTGTTGTGATCCCTCCCTCTGGGACACCTGGCATTGGCCACAGTGGGCAGACAGGACACTGGGCTGGATGGACCTTTGGTCTGACCCAGCCTGGCGGTTTTTATGTTAAGACACTTGCCAAGGCGATCGGTACAGAGTCCTACCAATAGTTTATAAAAATATTGCAGTGGAGTTCCCCATCTGTCACCTTATGGAGAAAATACACTAGACTGAAAGTCTCTTGAATACAGTAGAGAAAGGCTTAACAAGCACCAATAGCTCAAAGCTAAAACTGGACACATTGTAAATAGAATGAAGACACAGAATTGTAACAGTGAAGAAGATAAATCACTGGAACAAATTATCCAGGGAAGAGATAAACTGTCCATCTCTTGCTATTGTAAAATAAATTCTTGGTAACTTGCTGGAAGATGTGGTCTCTTCACCTCAAAAAAGTTATTTTGGCATTAGAAAAGGTTCAGAAAAGGGCAACTAAAATGATGAGTGGTTTGGAACAGATCCCATATAAGGAGAGGCTAAAGAGACTGGGACTTTACAGCTTGGAAAAGAGGAGATTGAGGGGGGATATGATAGAGATATATAAAATCATGAGTGGTGTGGAGAGGGTGAATAAAGAAAAGTTATTTACTTGTTCTCATAATATAAGAACTAGAGGACACCAAATGAAGTTAATGGGTAGCAGGTTTAAAACTATTAAAAGAAAGTTCTTCTTCACACAGCGCACAGTCAACCTGTGGAACTCCTTGCCAGAGGAGGTTGTGAAGGCTAGAACTATAACAGAGTTTTAAAAAGAGCTAGATAAATTCATGGAGGTTAGATCCATAAAAGGCTATTAGCTAGGAGGTAAGGAATGCTGTCCTTGGCCTCTGTTTGTCAAAGGCTGGAGATGGATGTCAGGAGACAAATCACTTGATCATTGTCTTCAGTCCACCCCCTCTGGGGCACCTGGCATTGGGCACTGTCAGCAGACAGGACACTGGGCTAAATGGACCTTTGGTCTGACCTAGTACGGATGTTCTTATGTTCTTAAGATGCTTTAGTCAAACACAAGTCTGACTCAGTACTGGGGTAAATGGGTGAGAGCCTTTGACTTGCGGCACAGATCAGACTAGATGATCTAATGGTCCCTCTGCCCTTAGTCTGTGATTACAGGTAAGTGTGGTATGTCGAGGGGCGAACGGCCCTCATAGGCCTCTTGAACTTATTTGCTTTGATGGAGTGACTTGACAGCCACCGAGTCGATGTACAAAATGGCCCAATGACCTCAATCAATATGGAAGTCCCTCTAACCTGAGTGTTACGGCCTAGTGGCCTTAGTCAATATGTCAGTGAAAAGCCTCCCCACATGGAGGTATGGGGGGGAAGTCTTCTCCGCCCTCACGCTCCAGTCCTTCTGTAGCTCTCAGCCAAGTAGGCCAATGCAACTCCCTAAACTTCAGTGCGGGGTTGATACACCCCGTCACATGGTAATACAAACATAACTGAGCCATGGGCCAAGGCTGTGAAAGCCAGGCAGCTGTGGTGCTGTTGCTGCCTTCCACTCACTCATTGTCTGGTTTGTTGTTATGTCTCCTGTTTCCCAGGCCCAGCGACAATGATGGGGAAGTTTCCCACCTTCTCCCGCAGCTCCACAGTGAGCTCGGCTCTACCTGGCTACCTCACACTCTGCCTCGCTCTCCTGGTTCACAGGCTGGCCTCAGGTAGGCGCTTTGCTGCTGTTGCTCTGGCTGGTCATCCCCAGCCATCTCCCCTCACTGCCTTGCGTTGTAAACCACTTGTGCTCTGCCTGCCAATAATGTGGAAAACCACAGGGCACGGCTGGGTACCCAGTAACCACGGTTACAATCTGCATCATCATGTCAGGCCTGGACACAGCATCCATGCTACTGCTCTGGCTATTTCTGGCAGCTTCCAAAACACAGAACACAAGTGAGCACCGCCACAGGGGTCACAAGCTATTTAGGACACTATGAATTCCTAGAGAGGGCACCGACAGACCGTCTGCCTCACAAATCAGACTCTTGAGCCAGGAAGGGGTCCTGAATCCCAGACTCTCCACTTTAGAAGGAACAACCCACAGATTGTTCATGAAGCACTAGCCACGTCTGATGGGTTAAGAACTAGACCTCATCCCACTGTGCGGATGTGAGGCTATTTGCTGGCTGCTTCTTTCTGTGCCTTCTGTGACCCCCTTCTGGAGTTTCACTCCACCCCGGGGCTGCCTTCACGGACACTCAGGCATTTTAGTTCCCACCTGCTGTGGTCTGCATCCTGCTAATGTAACCAGCTCTCTCTGAATGCTCAGTCTTAGCTCTGTGGTTCTCCCCACCCACCCCTGCCATGTGGAAACACACAGCATGTCTACACTACAGGATAAGATACTCATATTGAATTAAGATATGCAACTTCAGCTACATTAATTGCGTAGCTGAAGTCAAAGTACCTTGTCATGGGGCAGACTCACCATCAGCTGGCAATCCTGGGAATTCGCTTGATGATTCGCTGGACGTCTCCCTCTAGCTGGCGTCTACCCATGTTTCTCTTTGACCACAGCATCCTCTTCAGGACACTGCCCTCTGGCAGGGCCCACACCAGTGTCTGAGCCCCCCTGCAGGGGGTTGGTGTTTATCCTGCTTGCACTCAGGGTCCTCCCTTCCCCAGGGCACCCTGTTCTCCCAGGGAACACCCCGTTCCCCTGTCCCCACCTTGCCTCAGTGACCCCCTGACAGTCTTCATCGAGCCCCTGCCTCAGGGGCAAACTGCAGTTGGTAATGGCCACTCATCACCAACAAAGGGGTGTGGACCTGCTGGCCCCACCCCCCATGGCTGCCTCTCTACAACCCTAGTAGCCTCGGGCCTTGCTTCAGGCCCTGCAGCATAGGAGCTTGCTGGAGCAGGGCCAGCTCTGCCTGCCTTCTCCAGCCCTGCTCTACCTCCAGGAAGCCTCCTGCTTTCCCTGGCAGCCAGGTCCCTCCTGCTCTCTGTCCAGAGCAGCAGTCAGCTCCCCCTCTCCCTCCAGGGCTATGTGTACACTGGCGGGTTCTTGCACAAGAACACGTCCACACTGCCATGCACTTTTGTGCAACAGCAGGCATGGCAGCGTGGATGCTCTCTTGTGCAAGAAAGCTCTGATGGCCATTGGGCTTTCTTGTGCAAGAAACCCCTGCCGCGTGTCCACACTGTCCTCTTGCGCAAGAGCTGTTGCGCAAAAGTGGTTACACCTGTTAGAAAAGAGGGTAGCTCTTGCGCAAGCCCTCTCTTCCGAAGCCCTGTCTTCTGACACCGTACTGTAAATCTTTTTGCGCAAGAGTGGGAGGGCAGTGTGGATGCTCTGTGGAAGAAAGGCCATTCTTGTGCAAGAACTTGCCAGTGTAGACATAGCCCAGGAGTCCTTCTTTATATAGCCCCCTGCTCTCAGGCCAGGAGCTCTCTAGGGGTATGTCTATCCTACAGGATAAGGTCGAATTAAGATATGCAACTTCAGCTACATTAATTACATAGTTGAATTTGAAGTACCTTAACTTGACTTTTGGTGCTGTCCACACTGCAGGAAGTTGAAGGGAGAACACTCTCCCTTCAACGTCCCTTACTCCTTGTGGAAGCAGGACTTCCAGCGTCGACTAATTCTCACTTTGAATTAGCTGTCTTCACTAGACCCACTAATTCAAACCCTGGGGCTACATCTACACTGCAGGCGTCTTGAGCAAGAACTGTTTTTGCACAAAAGTACTTGTGCAAGAGTCCATCCACACTTCCATGTGCTTTTGCGCAAGAGCATCCATGGCAGTGTGGATGCTCTCTTGCACAAGAAAGCTCTGATGGCCATTTTAGCCATAGGGCTTTCTTGCACAAGAAACCCCTGCCACCCATCCACACTGCCCTCTTGCACAAGAGCTCCTGCCCAAAAGGGCTTATTCCTCATGGGGAGAGAAATAACTCTTGCACAAGAAGCCCTCTGTTCTGACGCTTTATTGTAAATTTACTTGCGCAAGAACGCACGTGCAGTGGAGACGCTCTGCAAATTTTTGCACAAGAACAGCTGTTCTTGTGCAAAAAGCCTGCAGTGTAGACGTAGCTTGGAAGATTGACAGTGGCAGCTTCAATCTTCTCTGTAGTGTAGACATGCCCACAGATACCCATTCTCTGCTTCCTTCACTTTATCTGCCTCTTCCCTCTCTATTATCTGACCTCTGACTTTACCCTGAAACCACCACCTGCATACTGATGATCATCTGCTTTCCTGTCTTCACACGTTGTCTGCGTTACACCCTTTGCTCCTGCAGATGAGGAAGCCGCTGTGCTGGAGCAGCATGGAAAGGCCTTGGTATATCAGAGAGCCAGGCCTGTCCATATCATTAGCCCCAGGGTGCCCATGAGAAATGTTGAGCCTCATTCAGAGATAGTCAGGACAGTGTCTAAACACTCACATGTGAACTCTGGGAGTGTGTCTAAACTACATAGCTCCATCGATGGAGCCATGTAGATTAGTTTACTCGGCAAAGGGAAATGAAGCCATGATTTAAATAATCACCGCTTCATTTAAATCAAAATGGCCGCCGCGCTGTGCTGATCAGCTGATTGTCGACTCAGCGTGGCAGCCTAGACAGGGATCTGCCGACCCCAGAACCCTTCGTTGGCAGATCCTGTATGCCTCGTGTATGCGTCTAGACTGGCGCTTTTCTCTGGCTTATCCCCAAGCTGGAAAAAAGCGGCAGCCATGTAAATGCCAATGCCGCGGGGGATATTTAAATCCCCCGCGGATTTGCAATTCTGAAGTGTCTCATTAGCATCCCTTTTCTGGAAAAGGGTGCCAATGTAGACACAGCCAGCTTGTGTGTGTTACTGCTGAGTTAATGCCACTCCCAGCCTCTCGCTTATTTCATTTCCATTTTTCATTGTACATTTCACAGCACAGTTCAAAGTGAGGGGACCTGAGCGTCCAGTCGCTGCCTCCCTAGGTGGGGAGGCCGTCCTGTCCTGTCACCTCTCCCCCAGCATGAGCGCAGAAAATATGGAGGTGAGGTGGTTCCGAGGCAAGTTCTCCTCAGTTGTGCACCTGTATCGTGGCGGGAAGGATCAGTATGGGCTGCAGATGGTGGAATATCAAGGGAGAACTGAGCTCTTGAAAGACGACATAACCAATGGGAGAGTTTTCCTGAGAATACACAATATCCGTCCCTCTGACAATGGGCAGTACACATGTTATTTTCAGTCCAGTGTCTCTTATGAAGAAGCTTTATTGGAACTCCGGGTGGCAGGTCAGTAACTTGTTCTGATACTCGGATGTCCTCAACAGGGTAATAAGAGGAATCTGAGGGGTCATTGTGAGATGACAGCTGACTTGTCTCAGTACAGCAGGGCAGTAGCTCTGCTCTGGTTAAGGTTTATTCTAGCTCGCTGTTTAACAATTACTTTTTCCCCTAAGGCTGTGTTCTCAACTGGTGGTCCATGGTGACTTTTTCGATGGTCCATAGGAACATTGTCCAAAGTCACACGGCATGGGCAGGCACCAAAAATCTGTTAGTAAGAAATAAATTTCAAACCAAAATGTTAGTTGTCTGCTCTTTTTTATCATGTCTCAAAAAGGAGGTGGTCCACAACATTTTTTTGATTGGCCTGGTGGTCCGTGGACTGAAACAAGTTGAGAATGACTGTCCTAAGGGTTCTAAAATTTACACATACTCAGATTGTCTCGAAAATGGTTGTGATTCATTGGAATCTGGGGTGTGTGTAGTGGGCTAAATTTGAGGTTATTAGAGCAATGGCTCTCAATCAGGGGTAGGTGTTCCCTTGGGGATATGCAGAGTTCTAGATGCTTCAGGAGGTAGCCAAGTTAGTCTGTACAGAAAAAAAATCCAAATGGTCTGGTAGCACTTTATAGACTAACAAAACATGTAGCTGTTTTGTTAGTCTATAACAGCATTTCTCAAACTATTGGTCCCGATCCCCTGGGTTGTCGTGAGCGGCTTAGAAGGGGGTTGCGAGCAACTAAGAGGGGGGGTCACAGTATCACAAGTTTGAGAGCCTCTGGTCTATAAAGTGCTACCAGACCATTTGGATTTTTTTTCTGTACAGACTAAGTTTATAACAAGTTACATAACAAGCACTAATGAAGTAAGTACAAACTAAAATGTATTCAGACCATGACTTGTTTGTACTGCTCTATGTACTCTACACTGAAATGTTAGTTTAATATTTATATTCCAATTGATTTATTTTATAATTATGTGGTAAAAATGGGAAATCAGAAGTTTCTCAGTAAGAGTGGCTGTGACACTGTTCAATTTTTGTATCTAATTTTGTAAGCAAGTAGTTTTCAAGTGAGATGAAATGGGGTATGCAAGACAAATCAGACCTCTGAAAGGAGTACAGTAGTCTTAAAGGTTAAGAGCCACTGAATTAGAGCAAGGGGCTAATGAGATACATCAATGAAAAGTCAGGTGATGTTTCACAACTCAGTAAGAGTGGCTGTGACACTGTTCAATTTTTGTATCTAATTTTGTAAGCAAGTAGTTTTCAAGTGAGATGAAATGGGGTATGCAAGACAAATCAGACCTCTGAAAGGAGTACAGTAGTCTTAAAGGTTAAGAGCCACTGAATTAGAGCAAGGGGCTAATGAGATACATCAATGAAAAGTCAGGTGATGTTTCACAACTTTTTTGGAATAGGGGCGGCGAGGAGTCCTGTGGCACCTTATAGACTAACGGAAGTGTTGGAGCATAAGCTTTCGTGGGCAAAGACCCACTTCATCAGATGCATG